CATAAAATCTTTTCGCTTCAACATTTGGCTCTTCTTCCATATATGGAGCAGGAGCAACGTTGGAACCTGCATCCTTCACCATCTCTGCATATAGATTTCGGTCTTGATCTTCTTGAAAGATCGGAGGTAGCGACGTGTTTTCCACAAGTTGTTCTTGCATTTGTGAAACACGTGATGATGACGACGTATCATACGTTTCTCCATGAGCCAGCCAAACATAATAGTTTGACATAAAACCTCTTCTATAAAGGTGCTTACACACTTCATACTGACTTCGCCATCTTTTATTCTCGCATTTTGAGCACGGACATGGTAACTTCGAACTCTCAATATACGACGTTTGACTTGTTGCAAACGCCATAAAATGTTGTAATCCTTCAGCAAACTCACTCGAGATTTGATTAGAAGAATCAAATCTATTATACATCCACATTCTGGATGAAAAAGATATTTTTTTGTAAATAATTTTTTTTTTGTTAATAATTTTTTTTTCTATCTATGCATGCTCATCGCGCGACGTCTATATAGGAGAGACGTTGCGACGGAAGTGCGACCGATATATTCTGTCGTAAAATGATTTGCGACCGAAGTGCAACAGAATTGCGACAGAGGTTAGGTGACATACCATTCACGTGTGTACCTAATTTTGCGACACAGCGGTGAGTCGCAAGTCCGTCGCAAATATTGAGCGACTCATACAGTGTGTCGCATATCGGTCGCATACTATCCGCGACGCATAACATCTGTCGCAAATGTGTCGTACACGTAGCCCGACCGAACATATCTGTCGCATATTGTGTCGGTACATACCGACAGACCATCTGTCGTAAAATATCTGTCATTTTCCGTCGTATTTCTGTCGCAAATACGTGCGACAGAGGTATCGGTCGCAAGCGGTCGGAAATTTGCGACAGATTTTGCGTCCAAATCCGACAGAGATATTTTTCCGAGATTGTGTCGCTTTTTAGTCGCGGTCTGTCGCAAATTTTATTGCGACTGAAATTTCGGTCGCAACAGGTGTCGCAAATTACAGTTTTTCTTGTAGTGTACTCAAGAAGGGTCGGCCTAAGATTATTGGGACTTTTGAGTCCTCATCCATGTCTAACACAATAAAATCCCTCGAGACATAGAATCCACCGATATTAAGAGGTACATCCTCTAATATCCCTGCTAGATACTTGATAGAACGATCCGCCATTGTAAGGCCATTCTCGTGGGTTTCAAGTCACCTATGTTCAATTTCGTGTAGATGGATAGTGTCATCAAACTTACACTAGCTCCAAGACCGCATAGTGCCCTATCAATCTCGATGTTTCCCAACTTGCACGAGATAGAAGAACTTCCAGAATCAGACATCTTCGAGGGAAGTTCATGCTTTGTAATAGCGGCACTAATTTCGGTGCTAAGAGCCACGGTCTCCTTTTTCACTACCCGCTTCTTTGTCAATATGTCCTTTAGGAACTTCGCATATGAAGGCACTTGAAGGATTGCCTCATGGAAAGACATGGTGATTTCCATCCTCTTCAACATTTCTGCAAATTTTCCAAACTGACTGTCTTCATTAAATTTCTTTAAATGAGAAGGAAAAGGTATCGTGGTACCTTTGGTGGTGATGGAATGTATGTCGATTCCTTCTCTTGCTCTTGTACCACTGGAGTGCCTTCATCCACAGCTTTTCCTTTCTCGTCCCTCGTTAGCCTTGGGGGTGATGTCTTTTCAACCATCGGAGAGGTGATCTCCGGAAGTTGTTTTCCACTCAGCTCAACCGCATTGATGTGCTCTCGGGGGTTTGTTTCACTCTTCCCCGGAAGAGTTCCTTGCAGCCTTGAGGAAGAAGATGAATCAAGTTGTCGGTACTATTGCGTGACGAGGAAAATACGGTTCTTGGTAATCGTGCCAACGTTTCCGCTAGGGACGGAGCGGATTCCGGGATATGATTATCCCGAGGATGAGGCATCACACATACCTGAGATTCAGGTAGATTGGAGTCTCCCGAAGAGGTGGTACGAACTTACTCTGCCAGGTTCGGGCACGAACCTGACAAGTATTTCCGCGGCGGATGGTCGACGAGGGGGAGTTGCAGCGATTGGCTCTTCCGTTATAGTTGATGACATCAGTTGTAGCCGACGTCTGGTGAACTCCGGTATTGAGAGGTGATATCAATACCGGAGCGAGGTGACATGCCTAGTATCGAGGGGTGACATCGATGCTAGGGTGGGGTGATGTGTTCGGACGGAGAAAAATATATTTATGTCGGATCCGTGTGATTGCGGAGTAGATGGATTCCTAGGAGAGAGGTGGTTGTGCTATGCACATGGAGAGTATATTACCTACGCATGGTGTGCGTAGAGACGATTTAACAGACTCTGTCCTACGACTTGTCGTATGGACTTGATTGTGATTGTTGACATGATTATCGTGATTCCATGTTTCCATTCCTATTTATTAGAGTATTAGTATATATATATGTATTGTTTTCCCTGATTCCATAAGAATAGAACTCCGGGTTACGCCCGAGTTCACTCTCTAGGCAATTAGCTTAGGACGTTGTTATGCAACGTTTCAGGTCGTGAGCAGCAGTAGTCGTGGAGCGGACATCGGAGACCTGGGTGTCCTGTCGACTGATCATGTATAATTATATATTTATGATACGCTTATGTTTTTGGGAAAACGGTTTTATATTATATCGGTGGTAGACTTTTAAGGTTTGTAATAATGAATTCGCTACCACTCGCTATGTATAATTATCTTTGGAATAATATATTATATATGTATGGATGAATGTTTTCCTTCTGCTAACTCTGAAAAGAAAAATTTTAAATTTTCACGGATTTTTGGAATTGGTTTTTTTTTAGTTGTCCATGTGACGCTACTCGTATTGCGGGATACGTATTTCGGGTGTCACAATTTTGGTATCAGAGCAGTTTCTTCCACGGGGAAAGAATGTGCTCATATTTTCACTGGAATTTGGGAATGAGTAAAATCTAAGCATGATCACCAGGTTCCGGTAATAAATAAAGTTTCTTGTCCGCAGTAGCTATGCCTCCACGACGTGCTGCACCTGCACAACGACCTGAAGGACCGAGGGCACCTCCGCCGAATAATGACTTGGAGGAAATGCGATGTCAGTTCGCATTGTTCCAAGGGAATATCTGGCAGTTTGTACGAGGCTGCATGCCACCGCCACCGCCATCGCCTGCTGCTCCACCTGCGACAAGGTCAGAGGAAGGTTTGCCACCACCACCACCGATGTCTGCACCTCCGAGGATTCCAGAGCAAGTTGTAGTGGACTACTTGCCATTCGTCAAGGAACTCCGAGCCTTTGGCACTCCGGAGTTTGATGATTCTCTTAGCCCGGAGGCAACAGAAGACTGGATCGTCAAGATCACCCACCATTTCAATTACATCTCGTGCCCGCTAGAGTACCGTAATGAGTTAGCGAACCATCATCTGGCTGGCGCGGCTCGCCACTGGTGGGAGGAAGTCGTACGCGAGGCTCCCGCAAGACACCAATTCTCGTGGGAAGAGTTCCGGGCAGAGTTTGAGCAGAAGTACTATAGGAGGCAAGATCAGGACCACCGTATTTTGGAATTCATTCGCCTTGAACAGGGTAACCTAACTGTTCGAGTGTACGAAGCGGAATTCAACCGGTTGTTAAAGTATGGAGGTCATCTAGTGCCAACCGAGGAGTACAAGATTCAGAAATTCATTGATGGGTTACGTCCTTCTCTCAGGAGGAGAATCGAGTGCCATGAGTACCCTACGTTGAGTCGGTACATCAACCAACTTGACAAGGTGGAACGGAGTGAGAAGGAGAAGATGGACGCCAAGATACAAGACCGTGGTCCATATAGGAGAGTGTCGATCAACCGTCCCCCGGTGAGGATTAGGCAGACGAGTCAACCCCACGACAAGAGGAAGGCTCCAGCGTTTCGCCCCACGACCTGGTCCAACCACTATAGTATAGGAGGCCATGCGCTAAGTGTGGTTGAGACCATACTGGACCTTGCGGAAACACCATGACATGCTACTGTTGCGGTCAACTGGGACATTTTGCTGCTAGATGCACCGCGGACATAGCTCCTCAAGCAACAAGCCACCGCGCCCAGCTCAGAAGAGATCGGGTATTGCTCCGAGAGTTTATGCTCTCACAACTGAGGAAGATGCCCAGGAGGAGCCATACACAGTGGAGGAGCCGTTTGCTGCAGAGCTGTTGACCACCTACGAGGCCACTTATGAAGATTATATGGAGGAGGCTGACAATGTCACTATCACATGTACCATTTGCATACATGATGTTGCATGCGCCATTTTGTTTGACACTGGAGCTACACATAGCTTCTTGAGTACAAAAAAGACAGGAGAGTTGTCAATCATGGAGATCGATACAACTACACATTTTATGGTGTGTACACCTGCGGGACAGACTCTTATAGTACAGAGGATTTTGCATTGGATGCCCTTGACTATCTGTGGGAGGATGTTGACTGTAGATCTTATCGTCGTACCTATACAGGGTTACGACTTAATACTGGAAATGGATTGGTTGTCGAAGCATCAAGCTCAGATGGACTATCGCCAACGAACTATTTGGTTCACTGAAGAGAGCAGAGGATTTGAATTCATTGGGAACTGGTCACGAAAAATGTATCCAATTATATCAACTCTGAAGGCTAACAAGATGATCGAGAAAGGGAATGAAGCCTTCCTGGTTGTAATCACAGCAACCGAAGAAGCAGAAGCAAAGCTGGAAGACACTGTTGTGGTTCGAGAATTCTCCGATGTGTTTTCCTGATGAACTACCTGGACTACCACCAGAACGGGAGGTGGATTTCTCCATTGAGGTTGTACCAGGAACGGAGCCAATATCTAAGACTCCCTATCGGATGGCTCCGACCAAGATGGCAGAACTGAAAAAGCAGTTGAACGAACTAATGGAGACATGATTTATCGGACCAAGTATATCACCGGTGTAATTTGTGAAGAAAAAGGATGGTAGTATGCGACTCTGCATTGACTACCGAGGCCTTATTCAAGTGACCATCAAGAATCGGTACCCGTTGCAGAGAATTGATGAGTTGCTTGACCAGTTGCAAGGAGCGAAATGGTTTTCAAAGATCGATTTGCGCTCGGGGTATTACCAGATCCGAGTGAAGGTTGGGGATATTCAGAAGACTACTTTCCGAACGTGATACGACCATTTTGAATTTGTGGTCATGTAATTTGGGTTGACGAATGCTCCAGCGGTTTTCATGCAGCTAATGCACCGCGTGTTTATGGAATATCTCGATGAGTTCATCATAATCTTCATCGACGATCTCTTGATCTATTCACTGGACTAGTAGACTGATAGCTCGGATTTTAGTTGGATTTTACACGAATATGCCTTTGGTTTCTAAACGGTTTCCACACACTCTTAGGCATTTTTAGAGCCCATTCAGCTCTTCGGGACTATTTTGCAGATTTTGGCAGGTCTACGAGGAGAAATACGGAATTCGACGTAAGGCAAGGGAACTAGAGACTTGGATCGGACCGAATCAATGTTGGTTTGGCCGAACCAGACACCCGAGGATTTGGAGACGTTGCAGGAGACATGTAGACCCAAACCGTTGTGCAGGAACCGAAATGGAGAGTCGAGAGAAGGAGAAGACGTCTGGACCAATCGGTCTGCACCAAGACCGATCGGTCTAGACGATGCAGTCGGAACGGTCCCAAGGTCGGTCCAGAGAAAAGAACACGTCGCGAGAAAACGGGCCCTAGACCGATCGGTCTAGGCATCACTACAGGGCAGACCGATCGGTCCGGAGAAGAATGAAGGCGCCAAGAAAGCGGGACCTAGACCGATCGGTCCATGCGTACTGACAGACTAAAATCGCGACTTTCGCGATTTCTAGGGCATTCTGATTTGGGAGAACGAAAGGGGCTACGGTTTTCTCTCATTTTTGAGACCTAGGATCGAAATCTTGAAGGGAGAACAAGGAGATTTGCCGGAGATTGAAGATTGGAGACATTATTGAGCATTTCTCTCCCCTCTTTCTCTATGTTTCATCTTGTCTTGTTGGTGTTTTTGAATATGGTTTGTGAGTAGTTTCTTGTTGTGGGATGAGGGATTAGCCCTCATGTAAAGATGCTTGTCTTAACCTTTGGACCCAAGATTGTGTCTTGTTTATGCTTTCAAACTCTTGCAATGAATGAAATTTTGTTCTTCATGATTATCTCTCATCTCTCTTGAATGAATGTTTAGGGAAACCTAGGATTTGTTGAATTGAGTGATGCAATTATTTGGGTTTGATTGCTAGAGTTTAATGAATGGTGTTTAATGCTTCCCATTGGATGAAAATCTCTTGGGTAGAATTTATGATTGAGAATTTCATGGAGACATGGATTCTTAATTCTTGGTGCATTCATTGAAATGGGTTGAGATTGAATGCGAAGAAATTCGGTTCAATTCAATCTAGGATCGTGACAAAGGAATTTAATGCATTCGGGAATTTCACTCTAAGCCACGAAAGTGGATAGAGTACTCTCTTGGATAACGGGTTTTCGGTTTGAGAGAGCCGAACCCGACCTTAGTCTTGGAATCCCTCACTTTAGAACAAGCATGATCTAGGTCCAATATTTCCTTACGGCATCCTTGCATGATTCGGTGAAACCCGATTCCCATAACCTTTCCCATCGATTATCTCCTCTTGAATTGTGATTGTCTTTGATTTTACTTTCTTTCTTTTAATTTTCTGCAACTTACGAAAACCAACAAAAACAATTCTCCGATTTTATTTTCTCCATTTTCCTAGTTTTAGTCGATTCCTAGCTTAACCGCTTAAGTCCTTGTGTTCGACCCCGGTACTACGACATCCGTATACTTGCGGATTAGTTGTGTGTCGGGTATAAATTTAAAGCTCGTCACGCAAGTGATCAAGTGTTTAGCGCCGTTGCCGGGGACTTTTTACGGTTTCCATAGCTAGGATAGATTGACTCTAGGTTAGTCTTTCCGGAGTCTTTGATTTTTTTCGGTTTGATTTTTTGTGTGTTTGTTCACCTCTTTTTTCTTTGTGTGTTTGTGTGATTTTTATTTTTCTCTTGAGTCAATTTCTCTTTATTTCTTTTATTTCTTGATTTTTCTGTTTATTATTGTTACTGTTTGTATTTCTCTGGACTTTTCTGGACTTGTTTTGGATTTTTCGGGACCTCTCTGGACATTTTCAGAATTCCCTGGACTTTTTCGGAGTTATTCTGGACATTTCCTGGACTTTTCTGAATTTTTCCTGATTTTTCTGGACTTTTCCGGGACCGTTCTGGATTTTATCGAGTATCTCTCCTTACTCTCTGCCTTTTTATTCACTTCGATTCACCTTCTCTGCCTTTTTCTGGACTTTTATTTTTGCAGGTTCTCTTAGTGCATGAGCAGACGTCCCACTCGAAGACAACTCGACCCAGATTTTGAGTTTGCCTTTGACCCGGATATAGACAGAACAGAAAGGGAAATCCGCAGAAAACAGAGAGAGGACAGAATGGCAGAAGAGGCAGCACGGGGTGAAGCGCAACCAAGAGAGCGTGTCCGAGCTAATTTGCAGACTTTTGGGATGTACACGACACTGAAGCATACTCAGTTGCTCTCGTGCATCAATCGACCACCCTTGGATCACTTTGAGCTGCAGCCGCAGTTTATTCAGATGCTGAATCAGATGAGCTTCAGAGGGAGGTATAATGAGGATCCGAATTCTCATCTCACGCAGTTTAAGATGTTGTGTCGAACCATCAAGAAGCCGCCGGGCGTGACAATGGAAGACGCGATGATCGAGGCGTTTCCTTTCTCTCTGATGGACAAGGCTCGGGATTGGCTCTATACCTTGGAGCCAAATTCCATTTCTACATGGGATGAGATGAAGGAGAAATTTATGATGAAATATTACTCTCCCATGAAGACATAGTTGGCGCTGAACAAGATTAACACATTCGCCCAAGATGATGATGAGACCTTGTATGATGCTTGGGAGAGGTTCAAGGAGTATCAGAGAATGTGTCCGCACCACGGTATGGACAACAAATACCTCCTCTCCACTTTCATACATGGCCTTAGGGACGACACAAGAGGATGGGTCGATGCAGCATGCGACACGAGAGGATGGGTTGATGCAGCATGTCGAGGCAGCGTGTATGATCTCTCTTCCGAGGCTTTAGAGGCACAGATTGCTAAGATGGCGAAGGGGAGAAGCATTTCAGGGGAAATGGGCAGCAGACGGTCTTTGCCTAAGGCTGATGTCAAAGGTGATGCTAGCGAGTCTTCGGCTTTACAAGCCGTTCTTTCGGAGCTTTCTGCCATCAAGCTGCAGCTTGCTAGGTCCGATTCATCAAACCCACAGAAGGGTAAACCGGGCATGTACATGGAGGAACAAGCAGAAGAAGCCATGGAAGAAGTCGACTATGTGGGAAGAAATCAATACAACAATCAGTCAAACTTCTACAATCCGGGGAATCGGAATCACCCTGGCTTTTCTTATGGCAACCCGCAAGGAGCATTGAACCCTCAGCATCAAAGCGGAACGAAACCTCAGGGACCCCCAGGATTTCAGCCTAGATACCAGAATCAAGGCTACCAGAGCCAGAATCAAAGGTATCAGAATCAGGGCCAAGACTACAATCAGAGAAATCAAGGATACAGAGCCCCTCCGCCTCAGGCTAAGGAAGAGGAGTCAGAGTTAAAGTCGATGTTAGCCCAGCTAATGCACGATCAGAAAAACTCGTTTTCCAGCTTGGGTCAAGAGATTCAAGGATTCAAAGGGAAGCAAGAGAGCTTTGAGCAGAGATTGGATGAGATGGATGCACATCTCAAGATGGTGGACAACCAGATTGCTCAACTTGCTTCCCAAGTTGCGAGACCTCAAGGCCAATTTCCGGGTAAGGCTGATCCTAACCCGAGGGAGCATATTAATGCCATAGGCTTGAGAAGCGGAAGACAGTTTCCGGAGAACTCCCCAGTTGTCAGAAAAGAGGGAGAAGGTTCATATGAACCTCAGAGGGTTGCCTTAGATAAAGGCAAGGGCCATGTTGTAGAGGGGGAAGAGGCGAGGTATATTCCGCCTCCTCCACAGGCACCCCCTCTACCATTTCCATCTCGGGCACGGAAGTACAACGAAGACAGCCAATTTGCCAAGTTTACCGAGATGTTGAAGAAGTTAGAAGTGACTATGACGTTTCACGAGGTAGTTCTTCAAATCCCGTCCTTCACCAAATTTCTGAAGGATATTCTTACGAAGAAGAGGGCGGTTGAGAAGGAGACAGTGTCATTGAGCACCGAGGTGAGTGCTGCCATATTGCAGACAGAGTTACCGCGGAAGATGGCTGATCCCGGTAGCTTCTCCATCCCGTGCAGATTGGGGAATGTGGAGATTGAGAGGGCGCTTTGTGATTTGGGCGCAAGTGTCAGTTTGCTGCCTCTCTCCATATTTAAGAAGCTCAATGTCGGTGAGCTGAAACCGACAAGGATGGCATTACAATTGGCTGACCGATCAGTGAAGTATCCCGCTGGGATCTTGGAGGATGTGCCTCTGAAGGTAGGGGAATTCTAT